ACAAATCTATTTGGAAAAAGTACAGCTAGAATGCTCCTTAGAAGCAAGGATGGTGAGACTTTGTCTCACGTGCTTCGGACAGGGACAGTTTATCAGGAGGGACCAATCCCTGGAGAAGGACATCATCTTTGTAAAGTAGAGGGTCAGTAACAAAGAGTAAAGTCCTCAACAAGACGGATTGACACAGTGGCTGCCACAGTGGGCTTTAGCGTAGTAATGATGAGGGTAGCACAGGACCAGGTTAGCGTTTCATTCTGTTGTGTGCAGGGTTGCTGCAAGTCAGAACTGACTCAGTGGCACCTGAGAATAATAACAGCAATGATTCTCCATCAGTTAACTCAGTATTAGTCAGTTTTAAGTTATCTAAAGATCTTGGAAATGAAGTTGATACAGTACAGAATATTATTAATTATTATGTAAAAGTTTGTTGGAATAATTATTCAATTTAGTTGGACACAAATTTATATTTTTTATGATCGTAAATGTTATGTACGAGTAATATTAGCTTGAGGGAAGTGGTGGTTCACTGGTAGAGTTTTTGCCTTCCATGTGGGAGATCAGGAATTGATTCCTGGTCAGTGCACTTTATGCACACGTACTACCCATATGTCATTGGAGGTTTATGGTTGCTGTGTTGCTGAACAGGTTTCAATGGAGTTTCCAGAATATGAGGGACTAGGAAGAAAAGCCTGACTATCTACTGTCAGCAATCAGCCAGTGATAACCCTCTGAATCACAGTAGTCTGTTGTACATAGTGTCAGCTCGAGTCAGGGGCTGACTTGATGGGGGCTAACAACAGCAACACTAGCTTTTTCAGCCAGTACCATATTCTGATGCAAATAATGTGCACCCTCTGCCTTTGTTTGGCAACTGCTTCCTTTCCCTCGGGAGATATTTTAGCACTGCTATGCCAATTTGGTTTTTTTTTTTTTTTCTTACATGTTATTGTTTTAAAAATTAGCATATTGCACTTACAAAAGTATCTTATGGGGAGAAGGGAGCTGTTGAGAAACAGTCATAGAAGATGTGTATTATTTGAGTAACAATATGGTAATGATATAAATTTAGGAGAAATAAACCCAAGTGAAAGGCAATGTACATTTGTGTTACCACTGATAAATGAAAGATGCAACTTTTTTCAGAAACCTATTGTACTAGTCTCGTTTGCCAAAGAGTTACCTTCTTTTTTTTTTTT